ACCCTGAACTTCCTGAACCCTGAACCCCATAAGCCCTAAGCTACCCATAGGCCCCATAGTAGTTCCTTTTTGCGGATACCTTATAGGATTCTATATATGAACCCCCAAAAAGGAACTACTTTAGGCCCTAGGGTGAACCCTAAACCCTAAACCAGGGGTCAAGGGGACCTCCTTCGTGTGGATCACCAAGAGCTTCTTTTCCCGTGCGGCCGCAAGCAGAACCTGGGCGCCTGGGAAGTTCAATCTCCCAACCCCAAAGGGTTTAGTTTTGGGTTTAGGGTTTTGGGTTTAGGGTTTAGGGTTTAGGGTTTAGGGTTTAGGGCTTAGGGTTGAGGGTAATAAGGGTCCGAAGTACCTATAATGGCTACTACATGGTTCTATAGGAGTGCCTCTGAAGGGTACTATAGGGTTCTAGAATAGGGTGCCTTCTTTGGGGGGATACTTGCCAAAACCATAATACAAGTAGTAATAACGATTATAGAAACTCTACATTCTACTATATAGGTACTTAGGACCGTGTCGGCTCTTGTCGTACCAAGACAGCATGCCAAAGACAGATCACCAAAGCAACAAGCAGAGTACATCGCATTCTAACATAGAAACAGTGCTAGACATGTGACCGTTGAAGTCAAATCTTACAGGACGCTTGGCACCGAGAGGATCGGACTCCTCAGTCAAAGATCGAGATATCATTGCGGCCAGTTTGGTCAGTATCCTTTGCAGCCTTCGTTTCGCTACACATGCTGCTTTCGCAGGGCCGTTGTGTGTCTGCTCCACTGTTCTTCCGACTGTTTGCGACCGACCACCGGTTCTTGAAGAAGCAATCGAACTCAGCAAGCGCTGCTTGGACGCACGATGAGGCCGTTGTCGGTCTGGTGCAACTAAGATGCACATCCTGAGAACATGCAATCATTACCACATACCTGATGTGGCGCTTGTGCCGTGTCCAAGCCAGCAACTACTGCTCTCCATAGAGAATACCGAATGTAGTAGGTAGTGTTCCAAAAGCTCAGTGGAGCTTCGTTTACCTATCGACCTTGGCATTGCGCAATTTCAATTCGTAAACATACGCTGGCCAAGGCTTGCCAGTTGATTTATGCCCCGGCGCTTCATCCAAGAGCCAGTAGTTTCAAAAAGCGGGCCATGAATGTGTAGCCTAGTTGCTCAGATTCCGAATATGTCGTCGACTTCTGTAAGTATATCATTGCATCCTACATACACATACATAACCCACACCAAAATCCTTTTAAAACCATGAAGGCCCTTCTCATAGAACCCTATACTATAACAACCTGTAAGACTCTTGTAATTGCCTAGAAAACCCTGCGCAATCCGATTCTAATCCTTGACGCCGCTGTCATTAAATTCCTACAGTGATCCTACGACCCCTCTAAGATTCTAACAATCCAAAAAACCAACTTAACAACTCTGTTCTGATCAACAAGTCCCTGTCATTACCAGAACCCTATAGAAACTTATAGAACTCTTCCAGAATCCTGCCAAACCCCTTTTGCACGAAATTCCCTCAACCCTAGAGCCCCAAATCCTTGTCTCACCCTATTCTAATCCCCGAGCCCTAAACCCTAAACCCCAAAGCCCAGGGCCCGGACACGAAAAAACAAAGCCAAGGCCCAGCACCCCAAACCCTAAACCCTTACCACGGTTTAGGGTTTAGGGTTTAGGGTTTAGGGTTTAGATGATGGAGGCCCCTTTACGGAATCCGCACCTGGCAAGCATTCCTCGGAGAGTTTCGTCACATCGTTGCCCAATGCCTTAGTTTTCGGGTTTAGGGTGGCTTGGGTTGAGGGTTTAGGGCTTGGGGTTTAGGGTTTAGGGTGGCTTGGGTTGAGGGTTTAGGGCTTGGGGCTTGAGGTGCTAATGATGGAGGGGTTTAGGGTTTTGTGGTTTCGTGTATCCGGAGTGTTTGTAGGAAGGGCTCTATGCAAGTTCTACAATCAGGGTCAGTTTAGGGTTCCGGGTTCTAGCTTAGGACTATCTAGCTGTCTAGTGCTTTCAGTTCTGGCTTTGGGGATTATGGTGTTTAGGGTTTTGGGTTTAGGGTCGGGATTGCCGTTGGCCGTCCAATTGGCCGCGCTCAAATCCTGACACTTGGCCAGAGAAGCGATCTACGCTGTTGCAACATACTGCGTCTAAAGTGCCTGTTAGGCTGAACTTGCCTGCGCTTTCGGACCCTAAGCCCTAAACTCTAAATCCCCAACCCCAAACCCCAAACCCTAAACCCCAAACCCTAAATCCCAAACCCTAAACCCCAAACCCTAATCCCTAAACCCCAAACCCCAAACCCTAAAACCCAAACCCTAAAACCCAAACCCTAAT